ATTATTATTATTATTATTTTATTCTAAATAAATAAATAAGAAGCCACTCTAAAGCATATGCTCAAATACTTATTTTTGAAACTGTGACCCTCAAAACTGTATAAGATTTGAACCATGCAAGAAACACAAAGGAAGTATGCCCACAAGTGAAATTAAAGCTTGGAAAAGTTATTCTTTGGAATACAGACCCCAGAATCCCCCACCAGCAGGGCCACTGGTGGATTCTGAGAACTGTAATCCAAGAAGTAATCTTTCTGCACTCTAACCTGCAAGTTTCAAAATGTGTCATGTTTTATGATGTTGTAAGATTACAAAACCCAAAATGCAGTGAATTGTACACAATGGAAGACAAGTAAATTTTGTGTCACATAATACTGGGAACTGGTGATATAAATAAAATGACCCAAATTTGTAAGAATAAAAGGATATCCCAAACAAATAAGACTGCTTGAGGGCAAACAAAATTCATTCTGCGGGTTTCACACATCCCTAATTCAAAGTCACATTGTATATCCATGCATGAGATAACTCCTGGAGTGATTCCCAAAGAGGGTTACATATAAAATATATCGTGTCAGAAAGGGTCATTGTCATAATTCATGTAACATGTTCATGCGGTAGCTCTAGTTTAATAAAATCAGTTATTTGAAAGCTATGTGAATGCCTTTACATATTTAGACTTGTGGGATTGTCTCCAGGAGCCATAATATGTACGAAAAGTTGTTGTACCAGCATTAATTTAATGGAGTCCAGACCTCTGGACTCAAGACCTGCAAGGCTGCATCTACACAGCAAAATTAATGCAATTTGACACCACTTTAATTGCCATGACTCAATTCTGTGGAATTTTGGGATTTACAGTTTTGTGAGATATTTAGCCTTCTCTGACAGAGAGCACTGGTGCCACAACAAACCACAAATCCAAGGATTCCATAGGATGAAGGCATAACAGTGAAAGCAGTGTCAAACTGCATTAATTTTGCAGTGTGGCAGCAGCCAAAGTCTTGATATGATGAACATCTGGTTCTGTGGGAGATGTGGGAATTGTGTGGCCACCTAGATGTTGTTGAACTGCAACTCCCAGTTACCCTAACCAGCATAGACAATGGTGTTAAACACTGGGAACTATAGATCAACAACATCTGGAGGTCCACAAATCTCCCACTCCTGTTCTTGGAAAGGTCACACATCTCAGTTTTGTCCAAACTGACCCACCTATTAATTTCTCCTTCCTCTATTGGCATTTTGAGGGACCAGACAATCCAACATGAGCCTAAATCCTGTTGTTATTTCCAACTATAGTAGTTTCATTGATTTACTTTTTTGTTGACACATCATTCAATGGGTCTGTTTTAGTTGGGACTAACCTGTAGGATTCCAACAATAATTTGCTCTTTTTCAAAGAGGAAAAAACACAACTAAGATGTTGGGCACTTGAGAAATACAAATACCCCTTTGAAATAACATTTTGAAAAAGGATTGTTGCAAAGGAAAAAACACACTAGTCTGGCAATAGTTACACGAGAGATATTTGGAATGACTAGCTCCCTTCCTTTCTGTCCTCCATTTGTCTGCTCTTGGAAAATTAGATGTGGCAGCTTGTTTAATACTTGTTTACCAAGAGGAGGTTGTAAACTGTGCAGAGATTAGAGATCTGATTAAAAGTTTAATAAAGAGGAGTGGATAAAATATGAATTTCCAAGGCAAAAGTGTACTGCTGAGAAGTGGCATGTCTTTGGAAAATGTTGAGATTCATTAACTTTGCAAACAGTCAGTGGGTTACTAACTATGCTGGTGGTGGTGTTGTATCCCTTCAGGTTGTTTTCGATTTATGGTGACTATATCATGAGGTTTTCTCAGCAAGTTTATTTGAAGGGGAGTTGTAGTTTGTTGTGGCAGCAGAGCTCTTTCACAGAGAAGGCAAAATATCTCACAAAGCTACTAATCCCAGAATTCCATAGCATGGTAGTTAAAGTGATGTCAAAGTGTGTTAATTCTGCAGTATAGATGCAGATGAAGCCCATTTGTCTTTATGTTCCCCTAAATTCTCTGTTAATTTTACAGGGTTTTTTTTTTAAACAGTTTAGGAAGGGATAATTAGAATTCTCAACCAGAGAGCTCTAGGCGTTGTTGTTGTGTGCCTTCAAGTCATTTCTGACTTATGGAAACCCTAAGGCAAGCCTATCATAAGGTTTTCTTGGCAAGATTTGTTCAGAGGAGATTTGCCATTGCTTCTTCCTGAGGCTGAAAGAATGTGCCCAAGCCCAAGATCATCCACTGGGTTTCATGGCTGAGCTGGGAATCGAACTCTGGTCCTCAGAGTCATAGGCCAGTGCTCAAACCACTAAGCCATGCTGGCTGTAGTCTAGTGCTTCACCAGATTAAAAATGCCAGGTTTCCATAGGATGCACCCATGTCAGTTAAAGTGGAACCATAGCTCTATAACTCTGTAGTGTGAAAGGTCCCAAGGCTGAGTTCTTCAGGACCAAGGAGAGTTCCTAGGAAAGGCAGGTGTTGCTTGACACTTTGCAGAATCCTGTTTTCTTCTTAGAGCAGACTTTTCAGAGCCGTTGTTACTCCCAGACAGCATGGCAGCATTCACACTTGCTAGGAACCCGAGATTGTACCCTAATACATCTGTTTGGGGAAAAGTGAAGTAGGAAAGCTGAATTCTTAGGCTCTCCTGCTGAACTGAAAATTAGTAGGAAGATTTCTATATATGGCTCTGAAAGCTTGGACTGTGAAAATAGAAGGGGGAAAAAGCATTTGAAATGTGGGGCTGAAGGTGAGTTCCACGGATAGCATAGACTGCTAAAAAGAGAAATGATTGGATCCTGGAGCAAATCAAGCTTGAACTCTCTCTAGAAGTCAAGATGACTAAATTGAAATTGTCTTACTTTGGACATATCACAGGCTTATATGATTCAATGGGAAAGATAATAATGCTTGGTAACATCGAAGGCAGTAGGAAAAGAGGGAGACCATACTAAGGGTGTTGATTCAATCAAGGAAAACACAGTTTGCAAGACCTGAACAAAGTAACTTCATTCACTGGGTCACCATTTGTCGAAGTCAACTTGATGACAAATAAGAACAACAACAAAATCACTCACACCTAGAACTCATATTTTGCTGTGCTTACACTCTCTTACTAACTTTGCCTGCCTCTTTACTTTGGATGCCGAAACCGCATTTCCAATCTCTGGATGCTTAAACTTTATTTCTAAAGCAGGGGTAGGCAACCTAAGGCCCCCCCCCGCCACCGCCCACCATGATGATATTGATTATTGTTGTTATTACCTGTTCTTGGGGTTTTCTTGGCAAAATCTCCACAGGGGGTTTGCCATGGCTTTTCTGGGGCTGAGAGATTGTGCATGCATATATTTTTATTTTTTTATTTTTTTAAAAAAATTATTTTTATATTTATTTATTTATTTATTTTTGGTGCTTCGGCCCCCCAATTGTCTGGGGGACAGCAAGCCGGCCCCCGGCTCAAAAAGGTTGCCTACCCCTGTTCTAAAGCTTTGAACTGAGCTTGCAGCACTTGTGATAAGCTGAAGAAAAAAGAGGGAAAGTCAGAGGAAGAGAGGGGGAAAAGGGGACATTTTAAAAGCAGCTAAAAAAGCAAAACAATAGAGGGTTAATCTGGAGTGTCCAGTTTGGGACAGATTGGGGGTATGTTCCTAGGCTTTGCTTTCTTCAAACTTCTTTCTGTGTCTCTCTCTCCTGTCTTCACTGCATTCGACAGGAAAGCATTATGAGTTGGGGGGGTGACACAGTCCTAAGTAAAAGAAGATCTCATTCTGTTGGAATATTATATTAACCCCTAAGCACTGCTATTTTGTTCACAGGCACTTCCTCCCTACCCCTTCAATCCACACATGCTCTCTCCAGCACTTTCTTCCCCCCCTCATCCAACCCAGCTGACCCAGTTGGTCTGATTATAAATGATCAATGTGCCCATTTGCAGCAGAAACCTCTTTCCACATCTTGAGACCCTCGGCCTTTAGCCGCTCATGCAGATAATAACGGCACTTCGAGTCGCTTGCCCATAACTCCAAGCTTCATTAAACAGAGGGGTTGTCACCAAAAGTCCCTTTAACTGTCGTTTCCCCCTCTCCACTGGGGGAAATTGACAGTCCTGAGAAAAAAAAGGAGCTGGGTTATAAATAAAGTGGAATAACAATTTGGATATTCTGCCAAATGCCTGTGGTTTGCTGAGGCCTGCATGCTAGAATCAGCTCATTTAGAGAAGGGTGAAGAGATAGTGGGAGGCAGTCAGGGCTTGAATGTTGTCTGATAGGCGATCTGGCACTTAAAACATGCCTGCGGTTAGTTTCCAGCTTCAAAGGAAAGCCTGTTTTCATGGAATAGATCAGGTATTCAACAGGGAACGGTGTTCTTCTGTTTACAGCGCACTGATGGTGAACAGTTGACAGTCATAGTTTCATGCAAGTGGCTTGGTTTTCAGCATTTCACCTCTGAAGGGGACATCACCAACCACCATTCTGACTCAAATGTTGCTGCTTAGCTCCACATGTCATTGTGGAAAGGTCTTGGCAAGCATCCAGTTTGCTCTCTGAATAATGGGAAACTTTTCACAACTTCTCTGTCAGTTGAAAGGCAAAATATTAACAAAGTACATTGCCGTTCCAGATGGGGTGGCTTGAAAGAAGACAGTTGATATCAGCAAGGCCATAAAATCATTTTTAAAAGTATATAGGTACTGTGTATACCTATATACTGACTTTCAATCAATCAATAATCAATCTTGCAAACCAGATTAGAGGATCCTGACAGTTTCTGCTTTCTCCTTTAAACCTTAGGTTCTTTCTTTTGTAAATGTGAAGAAATTGCAGATTTTTGTCAAATCCTGGAAAAATCAAACAAAAACAAATTGCTCCTGTAGTTTGCCCAGCCAGATTTGATAGGTATCCCAGAAGACCACACTGTATCTGTCTGCAATATAGGTCTGCAAAAAAAAAAAAAAAAAAAAACCAACTTGGCCATGGAAACCCACTGGAAGATTCTCTCAGTCTTTCAGTGTCAGAGGAAGGCACTGGCAAACTCCCTCTAAACAAATCTTGCCAAGAAAACCCCATGATAGTTTGTCTTAGAGTTATCATAAGTCAGAAACAATTTGAAGGCACATAACAACTCTATTTGATAACTAACATGAATACACAAGGATTTTCAAGTGTTTTAAGGACTCAAAGCCCTGGGTCTGGATGGAGGAATCTGTTGGAAATCCAACACATTAAAAATTAAAAAACTCTACCAATGCAAAAAAGGAAATGAAGAAGAGACACTACCACTGATCAACCAGCTTCCTGTTGCATCCCTTGGGTACTATATATGCTAGAGAATTTCTGTGATCACACACTTTTTTCAACATGCCCTTTATATATTACAGTAGTAACATAGAGGCTGCTTTTCCATGGCATCATCCCACATTATTGCTGTCACATTCTGGGTATCACAGAGAAAATGTGGGTATCACAGAGAAGGCCACACGTAGAAGAGGATCAACCAGCAATACCAAAGTCACATCATGAAGTCATAAAATGCTATTGGGATGCTTTTAACTTTGTATGTTTTAATATGCTGTAACCCGCCCCGAATTGCCGCGGGCTATAAATTATTATTATTATTATTATTATTATTATTATTATT